CTGGTCAATAAAAATAGTTTGATCAATCCAATGGTTATCTTGTGAACACAGAAAATAAAACTCTGATAATTGTGACATGGCACCAACAATGACACCAGCGTTGTCTAGTTATGTCTCAATTCCTTTTATTTTCCTTGCTATAGTTGCAGCCAATGTGTTCTTGTGGCTATAGTACATTTTACTGGTCAATATTTTCATTGGTGGATGTCAGATAGACTCTATCACTACTGGGGCCTCTGTGTTAGTGGAAGGAGTTATAGCAAGCAGCCAAGGTGGTAAACAAAAAGTGGAGTTGAAGGTTTCAAAGATCAGTGTGGTAATGGTTTCATTCTGCCTATAGTTTCCTCCTTTTCCTTTTTATTTCCTTTTTTCTTTGCGTGCCTCACAAATCTAAATGAAATGTGGACAGATTCTGGAGTTAACTAGCTATTTCCAGATATCAAAATAAAATTTCTATAATTTATTGATATAGGAAAATACTTGTGGAGTAGTTAAGGTATCTCTTTTTGTATGCTACTATGCTAGTCTTGTACTCTTGTTAAAGACAGATATGAGCGTTAACCGAACACTCCTATATCGAATAAGTTATTTGATGATCCCTAACGTGGTAACACACAATGCACAAAAAAATTCGCCCCTATGCTTTCTTTTTATATAAAGAAATTTCTGATGGCATGACAAAAGGATAGACCTATAGACTGTTAATGTTGATTGAGAATCTGCAGTTGCATTTTGCTTTATCAGGCTGTAGACAATATTATCCCAGGTAAGCACGCTTCTAGTGCATTTTTTTGGTGTGTTCTGATGTAGGTTTCACTTCTTTGTACAGATTGGAGAAAGTGATCCAACATCTTTTCCTATACAAAAGAAGCGGGCATCAAGAGAATTTCTGAGAACTGTAGCCCATCTCCGTCCTCGGACAAATACTTTTGGCGCAGTATGATTTTACTCATTGCTAGTTCTTTTCTGATACTTTTTTTTTGCTCAGAAGCTACTAAATCTGTAGACTTGTGTTATGCCTTGGAAATGATCATGCCCTTTCTGTCCACAACTTTTCTACAAAATGCTCATCATTATCCTTTTCTAGATGCGTTGTTAATTCCCTAATTTAGCTCATAAATTAGCATACAAGTTGTGACAAGGTTTGCTATGCAAATATTACAAAATAAGTGGCATGTTTATAGATGACATTCTGTCCAATCCAACCTTGGATATGGATCTGCCAATGTGGTGATGAAATACATACATTATGTAGAATTGCAATGGACTATGATCAATGCAGCCATGGACAGGAAATGTGTGTGATTCTCATATTGGCAAGAATCCAACAAACTGCTGATATAGCATCATATTCTGCACATCAAAATAGTGCAAACGTTGGTAGTTTTATGTGTTGTAGTAAGATGAACTTTTGCGTTAGAAAGTGCCTTTTTCTTATGATGAAGAAGCTGGCTGGTGTCCAACATTTTTCATCTCTCTAGTTATGTAACTTATTCTATGGAATTTTTACTGTACTGTTGTACTTATTTAGGTGGCAAGAGTGAGAAATGCTTTGGCATACGCAACCCACAAATTTTTTCAAGACAACGGATTTGTTTGGGTAGCAAGCCCTATTATCACAGCATCAGACTGTGAAGGAGCAGGGGAGCAGTTTTATGTGACAACATTGGTTAGTATTTCGTCAATAAGATTCTATAGAGTAGTGTATAGACAGATTGCTTGGTATGTAACAAATTTACTGTTTCTGGGGGAATGTTCTGCTCATAATGTCATTTCCTGTACTAACATGCTGTTCATATTGCAACACACATTTTGGTCTTCTCTATTTTTACCTCAAAACCATTAGTGTACTTTTTGCTCCAGTTCAGAAATTAAGTGCTCTTTTTCTTTTTTTCCTCACAAAAAAAAAAGAAATTAAGTGCTCCGCATCATCCTGTACTAATATGCTTGTCCAAATCAGAAACTACTTGAAGTTTTCTTTTAGTTTTGTACTTCTGTGTCTGTTTAGAACAGCTTCACTATGTTATTAGGTGCACTGCTAAATCAGTTTGAATTTTCCATCTACAGATTTACTTATTTAAAAATCATTAAAGTTCTGCTATAACAGTTGATTAAGTTTGTCATGATTGGTTTTTATGTATCTGTCTATATTTAAAGATATTTATGGCTCTGAGTATCACTTATTATCTTTTTATGTTTACAATATATTCCATGGAATGATCAGAGCTCTCCATTTTGGTTTCTAATTGCCATAACCCCTTTCATTATGTTTCTATTTAATGCTGTTAGATTTTTTTCCCTGTCATACAGATTTCGAATAGTGCTGAAGGTGGTTCTCTAGTCAAGGATATTCCTTCTACTAAGGATGGAAGGGTTGATTGGTCACAGGTAAAACTTCAGAATGAATGCTTATGCAACCTTTTGTTGTTAAAAGTCAAATGTTTCTTCCCCATTTTAAGCAAATTTACCCGTATAATTTTTGTGATATGCTCTGTTATACTGCATGCCAACAGCTGTTCAAGTAATCCAAATGTTTCAATGTCTTTGTGGTTTTCGTAACAATGGTTATTTGCTTGTATCTATGCTAGGATTTCTTCTGCAAACCAGCATTTCTGACAGTGTCTGGGCAACTGAATGGTGAAACATACGCTACAGCTCTATCAGATGTAAATTTTCATTTGCCAGATTCATTTGAAATAATTTTCTGTCGTATTTGATATAGCTGTAACCAGTGTTTCTGTTTCCTGACATTGCTTATTCTACAGGTTTACACTTTTGGTCCAACATTTAGAGCTGAAAATTCAAACACCTCAAGACATTTGGCTGAATTTTGGGTATCGCAATATTCTTTTACATTTATGTTTCTTTCAGAATTTTAAATTCCAGAACTCTTAATTTACAGGTTTTTTTTTTGTTGGTTTGTGTTCCGGGGAAGATGATTGAGCCTGAACTTGCCTTTGCGGATCTAAATGATGACATGGCATGTGCGAGTTCATATCTCCAGTATGTAGTAGGTGCCCTTTTTTGCTTGGTGCTCAACTCTGTTAGTGATTATTTCATTCAGACAATATTTTATGGATGCTTCACAGTTACTGACTTGCTGAATTGTGGGGAAGATGTCTCTATATGCTTACACCATTTACCTAGTTACTGCTTGTTTGATACAGGTGAAGTATGTTCTAGAGAACTGCAAAGAAGATATGGATTTCTTTAATACATGGATTGAAAAAGGGATCATCGATAGATTAAATGTATTCCTCTCAGATCTTTCTTCTGTTGCTGCACTATGGATTGTTTTGGTCAAGTTTCATGCTGAAATATTGAAAATGTTTCTTCTTGCAGGACGTAGTTGAGAAAAACTTTGTTCACTTGTCATATTCTGATGCTATTGAGCTACTTGTTGGGTCCAAGAAGAAATTTGAGTTCCCGGTAACACACAAATTCAATTATTTATATTCTCATATTCTCATTTGGACTACATTACAATTTTGTTCCTTGTGTTCTATTTAAAGTCCTAACCAGGAAACGAAAATTGACTGCATATCTGTCTTTGGTGTTGGATGGCATGTCAACATGCTTGTTGATAGAACAAATGCTTATACTTTTTGTAGTTACTGATAATTTGATTTGTTTAATTTTAATTAGTGTGCACAAAATTACCTGTTTGTTTTCTACTTCTACATACTCAGTTCTGTGTACTGTGGATCCTTCAACAACTGTCCCTGAGTAGGCAAATGGGTAAATGCAAGAATGCGAGTGATTATTTTACAAAAATAATGCCTCTTTCTTTTGTCTTTTGAACCATCCATAGGTCAAATGGGGATTGGATCTGCAAAGTGAGCATGAAAGATATATCACAGAAGTTGCTTTTGGTGGGCGCCCGGTGATAATTAGAGATTATCCAAAGGTTTATATCGTCACTGGTCTGTGATTAACTAGTTCATTAACAAAGTTGTCATACTTCAAAATTTCCTTTTATTTTGCTTAGGAAATCAAAGCTTTCTATATGCGAGAGAATGATGATGGTAAAACAGTTGCTGCAATGGATCTATTGGTTCCTCGGGTAAGCATATACACCAATAGCTGACATCTCAAACAATACATCATATGTAAAATTCCGAGTATATAAATAGACAAAATGGAGGCAAAGCTTCTAGCATATTTGAATTAGTTGATTTGTAATATAACTCTTTTCCTGTTCAATTTCAGGTTGGTGAACTCATTGGTGGAAGCCAAAGGGAAGAACGTCTTGATTACCTTGAAGCTCGCTTGGATGAGTTAAATCTTAACAAAGATAGCTACTGGTGGTACTTAGATCTACGTCGATATGGATCAGGTTAAATTTCAAATATCAAAATGAGCTGGATAATGCAATTTCTCCTTTTACATTACAGATCATTTAAAATTTGTTATTCGGTAGCATGATTTCCCCCCTGTCATGATCCATAACGAATTTCCACCTTTTCTGTAACAGTTCCTCATGCTGGTTTTGGTCTTGGATTTGAAAGACTAGTACAGTTTGCAACTGGAATGGACAACATTAGAGACACCATTCCATTTCCCCGGGTTCCAGGCTCTGCAGAGTTTTAGAATCCAACATTGCTCACAAATACTTTTTGCAACATTCTTTCCTGAGATTGGGATTTCAAGAAAAGTATACACTCTACTGTTTCATTGTACAGAGTTTAGTTAAGTTATTGCTTACATCGAGCAAAACAATATTGTTCCAAATTTTGTTGTTTGGAGTAACGTGCTTGCAAATTTCATTGAACTTCCGATGTACATTATTGTTACTGGACGTGTTATAATGATCACCTGATGGATTGATATAGTGCATTTGATCTGTTTTACCGCATAGCAAGAATTTTGTCTATACCGGTCCTGTCAGAATTTTATCTCAAGGTACGATGATTTGTTTCACAAGTAAATTTTGCTGAGAGGAGTTATGATAGTACTTAAATTTACCACATAGCAAGGAATGTTGTGGTCTAGTCTTGCCCTTCTGGTGACAATGTTTTGATTAGCAAGCTCATTTAAATGGATTTTTTTTGGTTACCCATAGCGCCCTAAATATTCTTTTTCAATAAAATACCTTTCAGACGCTATACAGGAATCAAAGGAAGAAAGCTATACAATTTACACGCTAATCTTGAAATAACAGCGGTTTCTCTATATCGTTGGCTGTTCCGTCCTCAACCATTCTGTCAACCTGGCATTCTTTCTTCTTAGCCCACAGAACGACATAAAGGCCGGAGAACAGGAAAACCATTCCCAGCATGCTGCATGCATCCATACATAACCAAGAGCAAATCAGTTTGCTTTTGGAAAATCTAGCACGAACTAAATTGCAGTCATGCATATCTAAGTTTCTAAACACAAGCGGTACACATTGAACTTATGTTAGCACAATTATTGTTGTTTCAAGAGGTCCTACATGTCATGTTTCGCTTAACATAGATTAGACCCAATGAATCCATTAGATTTTTAGGTATATACTACTTTTGTTTTTTCAAATAGATAACACTGTTGACTTTTTATCACACATTTGACCATTCAGTTTATCTAAAAAATTTACGTAATTATATATTTTTTTTGTTGTGAGTTGTTTTATCACTTAAAGTACTTTAAGCATAATTTATATTTTATACATTTGTATAAAATTTTTGAATAAGATGAATGGTCGACCATGTATTCAAAAGTTAACAGCATCATCTATTTAAAAAATGGAGAGAGTGAGTATATGGGCCTGTTTGGCACAGCTCCAACTCCAGAGCTGGAGCTCAACCAAACAGTTTCAGCTCCACCAAAATTGGGAGTGGAGTTGGGTGGAGTTCTCTCACAAAATGTACTAGAGTTGTGGAGCTGGGTTTTGGCAGCTCCACAACTCCACTCCAAACTCAACTCCTGGAGTTATATTTAGGAGTTGGAGCTGTACCAAACATGCCCTATATATGCACATAGTGAGAGAAGAACTATACCTCACTGGGTGGACCACCCTACCCAAGAACAAGGCCGAGAAGATCGCCGATCCGACGGTCTGCGTCGGGCTAAAGAGGGAGACCACCACGGGCCCTTTCTTCTCCAGCGCCCATGTCTGGAACATCACGCACACCGAGCTTACTAGCCCGCCCTGCATACATACGCCTCCATGATCCATCCATCAATAGTCACCCGTAGCATCCTTATTCCTTACACTAATAAAACAAACATTAACATGCATGACTCATCATTGCCAGTTCACCTCATAATGTTTTTTTTCTCCTTTTTCTAAAGTCTAAACCGGTATGTATCAACAGTGATACGATCAATCACTACTGATTGCTCGCTACCGGATAATAAGGAACGATAGTGATGCTGGTTATGGAATTGAGATTTGCTTGATAGTGCAATAGTAAAGGTGTGTGTGGTAGTGTTCAACCCTAAGATCCCCCATTCAATCTCCAATACACTCATAATTTCTTCTTAAAAAATATTTGGAAAACGTCTCTCCTTTCAAAGCTCGTTTTTTTTTAATTATGCTGATTGCGAGGTGGTGGTGGCCGGTTCACCGCTAGCCTAGGCAAGCGCTAGTGTTGATCAATTTGCATATTCATCATTCATGGTTTAATTTGATGTGTTAACTAGTATACTCCTTCCGTACTCGTAAAGGAAGTCGTTTAGGACAGCGACACGGTCTCTAAAACACAACTTTGACTTCTTTTTTCTATAAGAATATTTATTGAAAAATTGATATATGTATACTTTTATAAATGTATTTTTCAAGACAAATCTATTCATATAATTTTTATATTTTTAAACTCAACAACTTGAGAGTTATTCATGATTTATATTTCAAGGTTTGACTTAAACATTATCCTAAACAACTTCCTTTATAAGTATGGAGGGAATATATACTACTTCACTATATATAATACTCCCTCCGTCTCTAAATATTTGACGCCGTTGACTTTTTTAAACATGTTTGACTGTTCGTCTTATTCAAAAACTCTTGTGAAATACGTAAAACTATATATAAACATAAAAGTATATTTAACAATAAATCAAACGATAGGAAAAGAATTAATAATTACTTAAACTTTTTGAATAAGGTGAACGGTCAAACATGGTTAAAAAAGTCAACGGCGTCAAACATTTAGGGACGGAGGAAGTAGTTACCACGAGGAGGAGGGAGAGGATGATCTGGAGGCTGATCTGCGGCGTGCCGGGGCTGAGCCCGCCCGCGGCGGTGGCGGCCTGGAACGCCCCCGTGAGCGCCGCGCCGGCGAGCGACGTGGCGGAGCAGAGCGTGAACGGCGCCGGGAAGTGCACCATGGTGGCCGCCTGCAGCACGGTGGTGCCGGACACCACCAGCACCGCGCCCAGGAGGCACGCGCACCCGACGGCCCAGTCCCCCCCGCCGGCGTTCGCCGCCGCCGCCGTCGTCGTCCTGTGGCTGCTGCTACGCGTGGCGGCGGCGGCGGCGGGGCTCTGCAGGACGCTCATGGTGACGGCGCCGGCGAGGCACAGCACCGTCCCGGCGATCTTGGCCCTCGTGTACCGGCAGCTGAGGTCGACCCTCTCGAAGCCGAGGCACGCGGCGACGACGAAGATGAAGACCGGGGCGAGGTTGGGCATGGTGGAGGCGATGGCCGGCGACGTCTTCTTCATGCCGTGCAGCATCAGCGCCTGGAACACCGTCACCCTGCAGCCAACGACAAGGATCGATATAAATCTGTCATCAGACATGTTTTGCACAAAATGTGATAATAATCGTTTGACGGGAAAACTATTTTAATCTCTCAAGGGGATATCCCTTTATTTTTTTCACGTCACTTAAATGGTTGTGATAAAAAAAGGTGTATTAATACGCGATATAATACTCCACAAACATACAAGTTCAAATTCAATTTATACATCTCGTAATGAAAAAAAACAAATTAAACCACAACTAGTTAACGTATATTTAGAGTCAAATTTGTTTTTTTCGTTGCGAGACGTAGAAGTTTAAATTTTTTTCTTGTATATTTATGAAGCGATATATCACATGTTAATACATTTTCTTAGTTTTTGTCATAATATTTAAGTGACATGTAAACGATGTAAACAATGAGAGGATATATTAAAATCCACTTCCCGATTGACATGTTATACATGCATACCCTCCGAGGGCGAGCAAGAAGAGGCGGAGAAGAAGGTGGTTGGCGTTGAGGTGCGACGGCCATCTCTTCCTCTCGAGGTTGATGGCGAAAGGGAGGGTGAAGAGGCCCGTGGCGAGGCTGCCGAAGGTGACGAGGAAGAGCGGGTCGAGGCCGAGCGCCAGCACCGGCGCGAGCACCACCATGTACGCCGCGCCCGCGAGCTGCACCGCCACCAGCCCCGCGGAGATCGCCACGTCCTCCCACTCCCAGCTGCACCACCCCGCCGCCGGCGGCAGCACGGGCAGCAGCAGCGGCACCGCCGCGTCGTCCTCGCCGCCGCCACCGCCGGTGGCCGCTGGCGCCATTGGACGACGCGCGCGGCAGGCAAGGGCGAAGAGGGCGCGCGCGCGGCGCACGGCACCACCACACGCCCACGCCACGCGCCCCGGCCGTGGAACGGAAACCCAGCGGTTTCCTCTTTGGCGCGCGCGCGCGCGTGCTTGTGTAGGTGCGCGCTTTCGTCCGCTCGCTCAGCCCACCACGTTGCTCCGCACCGCACGTCCCGCGCGCATGCGCAGTATCGCTCGCCGCTATTTTTGGGCATCCTCCCCGTCTAGCCCTCTTTTTTCTTCATCATGTATATATGGGATACAGTTGATAAACAGTTATAAAGAGCCTGTTTGGCACAGCTCTACAGCTCAGTCAAAAAATTTCAGCTCTACCTAGAGTAGAGCTGAATGTACGGCCCCGTTTGGTAGGGCTCCAAACTCCAACTCCCAGCTCTAAACTTCTACTCTAGTTGGAGCTAGCTCCTATTGGAGTTGCAGACCCATCAAAAGTGTTTGGCAAATTTTTAGCTCCAGATCTGAAAAAAATTGAAAAAAAAGAAAAAAAAAGGAATCCTCGCCGCCAGCCGGCCAGCCCCCGCGCCGCTGCCAAGCCCGCACGCCGCCGCCAGCCCCCGCTCCGCCGCTGAGAACGTGCGTCGCCGACCAGCCCGCGCGCCACTGCCGACCCCGTGCGCCGCCGCCAGCCCACGCTCCGCCGCCAGCCCGCGCGCCGCCGACCAGCCCGCGCGCCGCTGAGCCCGACCGCCGCTGGTTGCCGCCGGCGCCGGCGCCGCCAGCCCGCCCGCCGCCGGATTTTGCCGGAGAAGATGGGAGGAGAGAGAATGGGAGGAGGAGTTTAGGGTAGTTCAATGGCATTTTTGTGTAAATACATAAAAAATTAAAGGGTAGTGGGTCTTTTGGGGTGAAGTGGAGCTGTGGAGCAGAAAAACCTAGCTCCATCCCCGTAGTACAAAATTGTGGAGCTGCTCTGCAAACTCCACTCCAGAAAACAGAGAATTTGTACCGTTTGGCACAACTCTAGCTCTAGGTAAGTTGGAGTTGGGAGCTGGAGCTGTGCCAAATGGGGTCGTACTCTCTCATAAATTAACTAGAGAGTTGGAGTTCTTTGGCACCCGAGCTCTATGGTCGCTGATGCGTTGGCCAACAACCATTGAATCCGCGATCTCCATGGCTCCTTGGGAGTCCAGGCAATCCTGCAATACTTGCAGATTTGGTCGTCGTTGTGAACAACAACTCTCTAAGAGGGTCATCCTGATTCTTTCATCTAGAGGTGGGAGAGTTCGGGGTCGTACTCCACCCGGTCGGCTTACCTTGACCTCTTCTCGGGCAGGATCTCGTTTCGGCACCTGCCAATCTAGCGATCTTTTGCCCCGCCCCGATGTCGCTACTTCATGTGGCTGGTCGCTCACCGACGCTGCTGGACGGCTGACCGACTAGAGAAGCATGGACTGCCGCACCCAACCTATTGTGCCTTCTGCGACCAACTGGAAGAGACAATCGACCACATTCTGATTGTGTGCCCGGAGTCCCTCCAGCTATGGTGGACTATCCTTTCGAGCCTCGGTCTCCCTTAGTGTTTCCCCTCTGGCACTAATTCCTTCCATGAGTGGCACTGCTCTTGCCGGCTCAAAGTTCCGAGGGAGCGTCGTAGTGGGTTCGATACAATTGTGACTCTTGGCGCTTGGTCCATTTGAAAGGAAAGGAACAATCGTGTGTTCAACAACCGTTCCCGGTCCTGGCCTGAGGTTGTCACAGCCATGGCGCAAGAGGCCGCCCTGTGGCATCTTGCCCATCCCATGTTGCTAGTGCTCCCTAGTTAGCGTGTTTGGTCGTTCGGTCGTCACATTGTAATAGCGAGAGTAGGCTTAAGTGCTTGTTTTCCTTTTTCTCTTTTTTCTCACTCTCTCCCTTCTTTGTTTGCCGTTTGTATAAATTTTATTCCTCTTAATACAAAAAGTACGCAATCCTTTTGCGTATTCCCGAAAAAACTAGAGAGTTGGAGTTGGGTTTAGGCTGCTCCATAACTCCTCCACTCCAGACCTAACTCTTGGAACTAAAATTAGGAGTTGGAGCTCTACCAAACAGGACCAAAAGATAAGCAATTATAATAGCGAATTTGTTATCTGTATTATGAATGACTTAGAATGAGGGATACTGAAAATTAGAAAAAAAATCCAAAACAATTTAAAATGAAGTTTCAAAATTCTAAAATCAATTCTAATTTTGGTTGCTTTTGGTAAGCCAACAAACCAAATTAATTTCAGAAAATCATATATGATAAAAGTTGCACAAAATCGAATATAGGGCTTGTTCAGTTCTTATCCACTTTCTACAATACCAATTTACTTTCTACAATACCAAAATTGGCACATTTTCGTATCGCCAAATTTCAGTAGCGTTGGTTGTGTTTAGTTTAATGTCTTAGACTTTTTAATAGTGGGAACTTCTAGAATTATTAAAGTTTGGTAGTATAGCATCAATAATAATGTGTTTAGTTTGTTGTTTTACTAAAATTTGGTATTGTTGAACAACAAAGTGAACATGCCCATAATACGACTTGTGGCATAGGTTAAAACCACCACGACATAATAATGACTTGTGGCAACATCAAATATTGCGGTGTCAAAGGTTTAAAAAAAACCCCGGGTATTATCATCTGGTCAAACTTTTGTAAGACCTGAATTTTCAGATCAACGACTAGCACATGCAGAAGCAGACTTCCCTATGAAAACTGCGCCTGAAATGAAGTACTGTCATATAGCCTAACCTAGTCATACAATTCATAACAATATAGGATTAGAGGTTGCCTAAAAACTAATCAACAGCAGCCTAGCTAATGTCACAGAATGACAGCACGGAAAAACAGGGCCACATGTTCCAAGCAAAAAACAACATCGCAGTCGATAGCACAACAGGTTACAGGTGAGCCCAACGGATGCTTCGTTTCAGTGGATGCACAGCTTTCTTGCCGAGTGGAGCAGACAGACATGCTCTGATACCTTCTCTCTTGTGCCTACTTGGGTTTATCTGTAAGGCTGACGAGGGATTTCACGATGCCGGGGCTGATTCTGTCTGCAAGGGCACCTTTCTCTGATATCACAAACGATTTCTCCTTCACAAAGCTCTGTAGCTTCTTGGTGTCATAGTCTAGTCGTTCTTGATCTGCATCATTATGAAAATGAAGACAATGAGTTAATTTGACAAAAGAACAAGTTATGCTCCTAGATGACACAACCGCAAGTGAATAATTTTTTTTTAATCCTTGCTGCACTTTAAAATGGACAATAGAGGCCTTCCTCAACAGTATTGAAAATAGATCAAGAGTGTACCTTTGTCTAGAACAGTGTGGGCCACATGAAATGGAACACGAGCAAAGATATCTGATCCTGGAAACATTAACCATGTATCTTCCTTGGGGTCATGATCTCCACATGTTGGGCATATCTCCTTTACCAGCTGCTTGCCAGAGGTTCCTTCCAACCCTTTCATTATGATTTCAAAGGGGGTCGGAACACTAGTTTTGGTTGTCTTGGCTCTTTTCCGGAGGGCTGTCAGTGCTTCCCTATTACCATTCCTTATCCTATCGTTTTCCACTAACTGGTTATCACAGAAAAACATAAAGTTATCAGTATCAATACCTATCTAACATATTAACAAGAAAAAGGCAAGTCGGCAACTCATAAATACCTGATGCCTTGCCAGAAGAAGCTGCTCTGCATCAGTTTCAATGTCAACCAGTGCTTCTTGAAGTTGCTTCATTTTAGGATCCATTATATAACTACAAAACAATGCCATTTAATTTGAAACTGTAAGTGAATCATGTAACAAGAATTCATGAATCTTCCTACCATAAAGAAATGTACAGTGATGGCAGGGGCAGGCCCAGGTTTTTCAACTTGGGTATTCGAAATTATTAGAGATAGAAAAAATTTTCCAACCCAAAATCTAATAGTTGTATAATATGTAACGGTATAAACATGATTTCATAAAGTCATAGATGGATAGAATTGACCATAAATTGAATGCGTTAAGCATATTAGAGTATAGTACTAAACTATTAAATGACAAAACATATCAAATTTATAGAGCATACAAAATGGCAAAATGATAAGAAATCTTATAATTTAAAGAACTTTCCGTTTCTTAATATTTTGAAAATGATTGACTTGGACCAGTTGGTTCTTGAGTTCTCTTTTTTACAGCAGCTTTTTCTAAAAAAAATTTAGATTAACCATGGGACCATTTTTTTCTCTTCATGTTTCAAACATACAAACAACAATATCAAAGAGCAATTGAGCAAAGCAGCACTGGTTTCTAAATCCTAATCTATATAGTTATTCACAAGCTAAAATAACCAATATACTTCAGTCTGAAATTCTGAATCAGAGAAGGGAACTTGTAAAAACCAATGATGCACTAGAATCTCTATGGCTTATCATCAAAGAACAAGCATAAGACAATCAAATTCCTGAAATTACTTTCAACTAGATTACTAGAAATCTAGAATATCTGTGGCTCATCATTTAGCTCATCAAGAACAAGCATAAGACAATCAAATTCCTGAAATTACTTTCAACTAGATTACTAGAAATCTAGAATATATGTGGCTTATCATTTAGCTCATCAAGAACAAGCTACAAGCAATATCCTCAGTTAGTCAATTCGACAGTTCCTCTTCCTCACCGCTGCTGCAGTTCTGCGCTGGCCGGTGACCGGGGACCGCCGGTCGCCGGACCGGGGAGGCGCCGAGGCGGCGACGCGGCGTCACGACAGCGTCAGCGGGCGCGACGCGCGAGTGCGCGCGGCGGCCGGGGGGCCGTGCCGCCACGGGCGACGGGGCGCAGGGCGAGTGGGCGACCGGCGAGGCGGGCAGGCGGCTGGGCTGGCACGGCGACGGCGCCTCGGCCTAGGCGCCCGGCGGCTGGCGGCTGGGGGAGGTGAGAACTCAACTGAGAAGAGATAGGGTTAGAAATGCATTTGGGCTTTGTTCTGCTATTGGGCCAATAGGCCTGAAATGGTGGGTGGTGGGAGGGTTAGTAATCCTTTCAGTTTGGGCTTCTTTTGAGTTTTGAATGTGTATATGCATTTTTTTTCTTTTTTCCTATATATACATATTTTTTTAGATAATGGAATATAATATCCCGGCCTTTGCTCAAAAATAACTATAGCCAATTATTACAAAGATCCACTTCAGAAGAGAGTGTAGTTCAAGACAAGTTGAACACACCAAACAAGAGAAGAGAGGACCCAAACAGAGAAAAGCAAAACAAAATGTGGAGCTAGAAGGCCTCGTCCAGGCCTAAGACTGAAGTTCGAAGCCAATGCATAGACCAATGACAATATCCTTGTACGAAGAGGTTTCTCCAAAGCGGTGCCCCAAGGAGGATGCGACGTGGATCGCCGCCACCGCTCGTTCGGAACCGAAGCAAGGTTTTCACCCGGAGAATATGGTAGGGAAAGGAAATGGGTATGCTAAAACAACGCCTCCAAGGAGGGGAACGACGCCAAACAGCGTCGTCGTTGTCAGCCGGCCAAATGGCTCAGCAAGGCTTTCGCCCACGATTCCCTGTCCAAACCCACACCACCAATCCGCACAAGAAAGATCGTTGTCGGTCAACAACATTGTCCCTTCAGCGATTCGGCAAAGGCCACAGCCCACAATTGTTCCCACCATCGATGGCGCGCCCGCACCCGGACTCCTCCTTCCCCGCCGCCAGACCCCTTCCCCGCCTCCACATACCGCCGCCGACGACGATGCACCGTCAGCCGGATGATGGCCTTTAACCATCGCCGCCATAGGTACCATCGTCGACAGCCGCCACCGCCACTGCCACAGCCACCACCGTCGCCAGCCGCCACCGTCAGCCACCATCGCCACCGCCACGGACACCCCTGTCCAGCCGCCACCGTCAGCCGCCACCGTCGCTAGCCAGCGCCGCCAGACGCCAGCCGTCCAGATCCGACCGGGGTGGTGCGGATCGGAGGTGCAGCGCGAAGCGCGGGTCGCCGGCATCATGGAGGAAGGCATCACGGGCACGGTGTTCACAGCCGGAGCATTGACGAGGGCGCCGCGCCTTCCTCGTGGTGGCGAGGTTCTTGACGAGGGCCGGCGTCGCGGCACACGCCGCAGTCCGCCGCCGTTGTCGGCAACTTCGTCGTTGCCACATCCGCCACCATCGCCGCCGCTAGCCACCCTCCTGCCAGGTTCGCGGAGCGGTGCCGGCGTCGACCGAGCCCATCGCCGGTCACCCCGGCCAAGCGGGGAGACCAGATCTGGCGACGCAGTCGCCCGTCGCTGGAGCCGCGGAGAGCCAACACCGAGCGCCCCACCGCCGCGCCCAACGCCGCGCCGTCCCCGTCACCACGACCTCGCCGTCCCGCCGCCATCGTCGCCACGCCCGCGCCGGGGCGAGGTGGAGCCGAGGAGGATGGCCCCGCCGCCGCCATCCCAGCGCGTCGCCCGGCTTTGCCGGCGACGAGCTCCGGCGGCGGCGAAGCACAGAGGAGGGAGGAGGAGGGGCGGCGGCGGAGGCTAGGGTTCTACCCCCTAGGGGCGGCGGAGGCTCTTTCTTATTGGATCTCTTTCATACCCTTACCATTAGGTTTCCTTCAGGTGGCTGGTTGGTTTGCTTCAAAATATCCATTACTAGCAAATATGCCCGTGCGTTGCAACGGGTGAATATCAAATAAATATGGATTGTCAATATTGCTTGCATACTTATTTAAATGCAATAAAAGCAGATGCATCACGTCCAATAGGAAATTGCTCTGTTTTTTTTTTAAATCTGGGTGCATATATGAGTAACGTCGAGCGAGACTCTTAGTATCCATACTAAATATTGGGTGCATATACGAGTCTTGCTTGTGTTTTCTGTTTTTCTAATATAGGTTAAGAAGATGTTTGTATCCTACTTCCATGTAATTCTTATTCTTGGACTTTGTAATTCCTGTGTTGTAATTCCTAAGCTATGTAATTGTATCTAACTCGGTTTACGCTTCAATCAATCCTTCAACGTGCGCACCCAAATAACTGATCGGGAACGGTGGTGGAAAAAACCGGGCTCACCAAAAAAAAACCGTGAAAAGAAATCGCCACCCACGAAAAAAACGGTCGGATAAAAAACCAGTCCATAAAAAAAAACACTTCCAAGAGAAAACCGCGTGCGGAAAAAAAACCATCGGGTCTCGCACATACGGACGAAACGGAGTGTACAAAATCTCAAATTGGTCCATACGTAGCAAATCTTCAAATTTTATACCGCTTTACATATTAGGAAACGGATGTCATTATAAAAAAGCAAATTATTGCACAACAATTTCATATATATTAAAATGATGGTTCAAAGTGATTAAAAATTAGTTATGTAAACATTAAATGATTTTTAGCGAAAAAAATAAAGGCAAAATGAATAAGGCCCGAAAGCTAGCGACGGTCCAAAACTGCGTGCGTCGGCCCGATAATGCACGAGGCTCGGCCAGTGCGGCCCGTTAGGCAAGGAGGCCCTTCATCGCGTGCGGCCCGTATCGTGTGCGAGCAGCCGAGTAGACCCCAGGCAAGCGCGAGCGGCCGAAATGTCGGTTAGCAGCTAAGCAGGCCGCGTGCGAGTACGTGCAGCCCAGATACACTCGCAGGCCCATTATCCAGTGTCGTTGTTGCTTGCGGTGGTGTGAGGAGTTTTTTTTATTTTTAATTTTTTTTATTAAAAGTTTTACAAAAATAATTTTTCATTTTGAAAATTGACAGAAGTGGTCGCCTACCGCCCTCTGGGAGGGCGATTTTTAAAAATCGCCATCCCAGAGGGCGGCGAAAGTGACGTGGCAGACGGCCGTCGCCTCCGTTCGCTCTCGGGCGACGGCCGTCAACGAAATTTGCAGGCGGCCCCCTTGCCGCCCTCCGCTAGGGCGATTTTGTACTGTGCGGGGGGCCGCCTGCAAATGGGCAGCGGGGGGCCTGGAATTTTGCAGGCGGCCCCCTTGCCGCCCTAGGGGAGGGCGATTTTATACTGTGCTTTATATTTTTTTATAAATATCAATAGTTATCAAATCTTTTTATGTTGAAAACTATACAAGATTAAAATCTCCAAGACTGGTAAAATACAATTTTATTATTTTTTAGGGCCTATTTGGAATGTTACGGTACAAATATTTTGTTAGTGCCAAAATATAAGCAAGTTTTGGCACTAACAAATATTTGGTAAGGTAAAATTGCATTTGATCATATTTGGTTTGCTGCCAAAATGTAAAATTGTAGTGAAGAATGTTCTACATAATCTCAAATCTAGATTACGTATTACCAATGAATAGGCTTCAATCGAAATCAAACACAAGTACTATTCAAATTACCAAAATATTGGTAGGGCATGTTTTTGGTAGCAATCCAAATAGGCCCTTAGTCTTACGCATACAAAAAATCACCACCATAATTAAACATTGTAATGATAAGATAGATAAGAAGTGCCATCGATACACGGTACAAATTTGTCGATCCCGACGAATCAAGCATGCGGTAACCTATCGGCCCCTTCTAGGTCGGTCAGAATGCATTGCATTCTCGTGGTCCTTCAATCGTTGATACTCTACTTGTGTTTCTGACTCTGTTATCTTCTGGCCATGATATGATGGAGTGACATTGTCGATCCATCGAGTAAATCCACCCATCCTTGGATTGCCCTGTAAAAATAGTAATGTTATTCAGTTTGGGTAGTAATTTTGTGCAAATCATAGCGAATTTTGTAAATGGTTAGACATACAACGAAATCGTTGTCTACATTGGGGCAGACAAAATATCTCCTTCGAAATGTTTGTTCAGCAAAGGATGTAGCCACCTGCCAGCGATCTCTGCACCCACACTTTGGACGCTCGGACCATTTAGGTAACCCTAATGGATTGTTCCTCCAGTTTAAGCTTGCAATTTCCACCCGACGTTCGTACTCCATCCAAGCATGAATGAACTGTATGGTCGGTTCAGGTTGCGTTATCGGCCCGCCACTTGAAGTAACTCTGACTGTGTCAATCCATTGTACGAATTGACATTTCCTTACATCCTCCTATGTACATCCATTTTGGGATAGTTAAGTTAATGATAGTACTGAGGAGTGATGAAAAGAATAGTTGTAATTACCACGAAATCATCGTCGACAATGTTTGGACACACGAAACACCTTTGTCCTCGAGTTCGGTGCCTTACGGACCTTATGACCTGACAACGGTCACCACAACGACACTCCGGTCGCTCACGCCACGTGGGGGAGTCCTAGGGGATTTACGTGCCATTCTAAAGCCTCAGCAGCAATTCGACGTTCATGCTCATCCTTCCGCCTTAGGTAGTCCGATCTTGTTTCACTACGTGGGTAAGCACGGGTTCCGTCGTTTTGTGGGTTCTCCATGTCTACCCACTCGATGAAGTTGCACATTGGACGATATGTCTGCGTAAGATGTTACAATTGTGTACGAAGAAGTTAGTTTTTTTATCCATTTGAACTTCGAATAGATGAAGCATACCTGATCAAAGTTCGCGCATTGGAAGAATCTCCTGCCCCGAGTTTTTATCATGAGGGAAGACTTGAGTATGCATCCATCCCCACAATAGCACAAAGGACGGTCACACCATGGTGGAAACCAACCAGCAAAAGGATCGCTTCGCCAGTTGAGACGATCAAGGAATGGCGCTTCCATTTTCGTGTGTTGTGTGCTAGTGGGAAAGAAGATATGAAGAGGTTGCCTTCAGATTGTCAATTATATAGCGTCGTTTTCACTGCAATATATGTGAACTCAATGAGATACATTATTCATTAGATGTGACAAGACGATCACGCGTGGGCGTGATTCACTATATGTCAACAGGCAGCGCCGAAAGTTGATAGTGAC